AACTGAACCCAAAGTGAAAAGGGAGAAGGGAGAAAGTACTTTGCTTTGAGATCCACATATCTTATTTACTATACATCATGAGAGTCCAAAGAGTCAAAACGAAGAAAGAAAACCAAAATCAGAGGAGAATATAAGGCAAATATTTAACTTTCTCTTGAGTTCTGGGCCGGGATTAGACTCAAGGAACCGGTGCGTAGGTTAGGTTCTGACTGAACGCCGTTCTGGATAGGCAACTTCTCCACCTCTTGGGCTCCGAGGGTTGTCCAAGCTACGCGCTCGCTCGACAAACCATCTCGGACCACACGCCGATGCCCCGTTCTCATGTGGGAAATAACAAAGCCGAAGTCTCTGGTGTCACTGTACGAACCCTTCCTTTTGGCCTACAGATGACATACAGAGACTTAAAGGTAATTATGCTTTCGAATGGTATTAATTATTATTCATGTTCGTTGGCTGAAAATTTGTCTATTACTTGCAAAATAATTACGTTTATAGATTAATAAATAGTGTTGTCTATAATTTCTGCCAGTTTCCAATTTTACAAAAAAAATGCCTTAGCTATGTTAGAGGTCAGTTTCAGGTAACAGCTTGGCACTAATAAGGATTAAAAGCTCAAATTGCAACTCCTAAAATTCAATTACTACTTACTGGCACGTCCTCTTATGGCACTAATGACGTGAAACAGCTGAATAAGCATTCCTCGTTTCCAACGATTTCAAGAAGTATCCGAATTCACCACATAAAACGGATATACAAGCTTTCCGTTCTTCTCATCGGCGATACGCCAGGTTAATTTATGTTTATATTCTTATTTAAAGGCTTTTATGGTATCAGACACTTAAAAAAGAAACTGGTCATTCAACTTTAAAAAATGTAGCATTTACAGGTATTGAGATAAACCTGAAATTCTGGTCATGATGGAAGTTTCTAGGTAGAATCCGCCGTCCATTAGAAGTAACAAGCTGACTGCATCCAACTCTGACATCGTATGTAGGATTTGAGGTTCACACGTCGGTGAGTCCGAAGATGGCTGTCTTCTGGGTTGTTGCACCTTGAAGTCTGGTAAAGTTTACAAACGTTTCAGAGATGTTTACTGTCTCCATATTCTGGGCGATCGCCTTGATGATGGAGGCAGCAAACATCTCTGTAACATAGGTAAACGTTTGTACCAGACTATACGGCGCTGCAACCCAGAAGACAGCCATCTTCGGACTCACCGACGTGTGAACCGAAATCCAGTAAGAATCATTGATCTAATGTCACTGAATTTGGTCGACATCTACTTAAAAACCAGGATGTTCGTTATCGTTTTCACAAGAGTTCGCCACTGGACCTTATTCGTACCCAATCAACATCCTCACATACAATTTCTTTAAGACTCATTTTAAAATTATCATTCCTTGGTCTTGCAAATGGTCTCATTTCAGGCCACTCTATTTAAATTGTCTATGCGTATCGTTTCTCTTTATGCCAATGGCTGATATACTATGAGGAGAATGTTTACGACTGTGTTATGCATAAATTATAATCACGGCCACCGTGTACCTGTCAAAGGATTTCAGACCTTAATGGGTTAATGTCTGTATCACTACGTGTATGTGTAATTCTTATATTGTTATAACCGTTGGCACTACAATGTTGTTAAGGGATTTTCGGTCTTATGGTTTGAACAGCCAGCCGTAAGACCACTGTCTCCTGGCAAACAATCGTAATCAATTTTTTTTAGTAAGTGTAGTTCTTGGCGGTCATTCGTAACATATGCGGAAATTTATTTTACAGGTAAACATGGTTCCCAGTTGTTTTTAAACAAAATAGCGGATGCCCGTGATTCTCACTGTTAACACCCGAACCTGAAAATTTTACACTGCATTATATCACCAGATTGGGAAGAGTTTGGGGTCGCAACCGCTAGGTAGCTCTGGAAGCGCGGACTGTGTAAAGGTCGACTGACGCTCCTAAGCAGACGGCGGGTCGCCTAGCTTCGCCGCCGACGCCCTTTCTGAAGGGAAGGGAAGGGCAAGCCAACAGCAGCCTCTGGGCTGTGCTGGAATCAATAACTGAAGTACTGTACTGTACCTTAGGGCAAGCACCAGCATTCCAAAGCACATGAACGACAGCGTTGTAGCATTTCGTCCGTCGAGGAAGGCGGTAGGCGCTGGGCTGGGCCCTGCGCCACAGTGTGACTCGGAGGTTTTAGTCGTCTCATTTGTTAATCGGTCAGTCACGATTCCTACAAATTATTAACAGTTTTCCATATTACTAACGTTCATAATCAGATAACAGGTAATATTTTTTGACTCTAAGAATTTCCACGTAAGACGACTTCAGAGGCAACGCGGTCTGAGGCTTGGTCTGGGGTTGTGAACACTGTAATCGTCAGATCGAAACCCCACTCGAGGCATGCATTTTTCTCTGCGTCTTCCTGTGCTGTGTGTAGAAAGAAGCTTTGCAACAGGTAGTACCCCGTTCAAATGCCGGAAGGAGAGAGTAGCCTGATGTAAACTAATCCTTAAATGTCTCATGAAACACATTTTTTCTGCAGAAAATATGTGGTCTCTTCTGCAATAGCATCGTGAACATGCAGAGGCTTCAAAACAGATAATTCTAGTAAAATTATTTACATCTGTAACACAGCGAGCCGTACAATATAAATGTTACTGGCATCAATAGGATATACTTTACATATAATTTCTGACAAAGGAATGATCACTACGTCTGGCTGCTGAGGATACAAAAAGGATGGTGATGGACCATAAGGATGGTGGACACTGACCGTGGCTTCCAATTTCTCATTCACTGTTAAAATGCATCCTGGCCACCAAACATTCTCATACGTCACAAAACCTCTGGCGTTGAGTGCCATATCCTCTTACAGCTCAGTCCCACAGCATTCTTCAGACTCTGCCGGGGTGCAAAGATTCTTCACAATTAATTTAATTTCTCGTACTAGCATAAAACATGAAGATTCCTTCCGCTGCTATAACAACTCTTCCTTATTCCAAACAGAATTAACAAATTTACGGGGATCAAAACGTAACATATTACCCCGTGCATCGATCGATTGCGCTGGAATCTGATCGATCGCTAACGATTTATACATTTTAAACTTGTCAACAGCAATGTAAATCTCAAAACAATTACATTTAATTAGTCTGCCTAACACTATGTGCATCCAATAGCTGATAAAATTAATTTTTCCACCTATTCAGAATAATGCCAGCAGATCATCAATTTTCACCTAATTCGACCAAGGAGATAGATGTCTCTAGTAATACTGAGGCCATGCACTAACCAAGGACATGAAAACCTCTGAAAGGGCCGACACAATGTTACCGCCGAATTTTTCATTTGCGTGTTCTGATAACTGAATTGCTGTTTAAAATTAAATTCCATACAAAATTACAATCCCTGGTTCATACCGCTTCATTTTAACCACTTTGTTCCAAGGAAAATATTTCTAATACCCCTTCGAACACAGGAATTGTATCAGCCCGCTCCCACTTCCGGACGTTCTGTTGTTTCACGGCTTTGGCCAGATAAAAATAGTGCAGCTCGACCTGCCCGGGGTCAACCAGCCCGCGTAGACCCTCGTCGTTCGTGTGTACGTATTTTAAATTCTCGCTTCGGGGCACGAATCACATTCACTTCTGATAATGTCAAAATTAATTAATCATGGAATCGGATGTTGTAACAAACCACTGAAAGGTTCAATGAATTTCAACGTAAAATAAAGTTGCCTCCGCACTCCACTGAGGCGCTTGTGGGAGGAGTAACGAGCAATGGTTGCCACGATCCTGGTCTTCTACGCTGTGACGCCAAAATAGAGGACTGTTTCACTTTGAAACGTTGGTATCTACCTAAAAATCCACACTACGCTACAGCTCAGAACATCAACTTCTTCACCGCCGTCAAATGTCATGTAGCCTGATGCATCACTTTTCCACTAATGACTCGATAGTCAGGAACTTTGCCTTTTACGGAACCGAAAGTTTCGCTGTCCACAAGAGGCCCCCACTGGTCACTATGTATCCGGTCTCTTATCTGAAATCGTACCCAAGTAGATTCTTTCTTCCACCTTTTACCAAACGGCATTTTGTATTACTCATCTCCGTGAGTGCTACATGCCCCGCCCATCTATCCTCCTCGATTGGACGGTCGCAGTAATATTTGGCTACACTCATGTTGCTCTTTTATTTTGTTCCTGTCTCTTTGAACTCGGCACCCTGTTCACGAACACCCTCGTGCAAGCAGTGATGCCTGCTTGTGTTGTAATTCCTTCTGAAACGATGACTCAATCACGCGTATGACTGATCCCGAACTACGTCAAAGTATGAGACGGATATGTGAGGGGCAAGGGGGGGAAGACGCAAGGCGCCTTATGCGCTATCGCATCCCCTCCGTCCGCGTACCTGGGGTACTTCGCCACAAACGTGCTGTAAACAAAGCACGGAGATATTTTGTGACAAGTACGTCTTCGGTTCTGAGAACTGGACTGGCGGTGGCGAGTGAAGCACTTTTCAAAGCGAGAGCTATTTTATATGTTCATGGCTCCTCCTCCCCCCATGTGGAAAAAGTCTCTGAAAAGTTAGTTTGTGTAACCAGACGAACCACTTGCGCAAAATCATACATTTGGTAACACGGCAGTTAAATGACCCACACACTCCTGGGCGAGGTGTGAGTTCGCATTGTTTTGACATGAATTTTTAGCTCAATATTTAATTTACAAATTAAAAAAGTTTAATTTTACATCTGAAGAGTGTTTTGGAAATTCCTTACATGGCTGTCTTCTAGGTTATAGCCTGCGTAGTCTGGTAGACTTTTAAAAATGTTTCGGAGGTCCTTGCTGCCGCTATCATCAGGGCGACTCTGAAACGTCGGTAAACTTCTGCCGGTTTACACGGAGCTACAACCCATGACAGCCATATTTGTACTCACCACCGTAAGAACCTCAAATCCTACCTTGGAAATTACTCGTTCTCAAAATCAGAATGTCTACTTACGTGCTACAAAGGACGTCAACACTATTACGCCAATGTCCCACTCACCTAAAAGAGAAAAAAACAACATAAGTCACGGTTCAAGCACAGCTTTCAAAAAGTCAAATTTCAAGGATGCAAATGTTTAAAGCAACTAATATTGTAAAATGAATCGAGAGCTATCAAATCTAATGGAAGCGGTGATGATTGTGAAAATGGTCTAAACTAGCCGAAAATAATGAACAGAAACATACGAAAGACGGAAAATAACCGCTAATAATCAACGCACTATCCACCAGTCTTTGACAAGAACGGTCTAAAACACCATCATTCTGTATACACGAAAACTGATAAAAGTTCATGTTGCAATATGACATCGATTATCATTATCATCCTTAATACAGCAGCCGTCACGAAACTCCATGCATCAGGGAAATGGAATCCCCCCCCACCCTCCTCAGAAGCTCCAAGTCGCCAGTACAGCGTACTGCTACGTACGCTACAAGTTTTGAGCTGTCTTCACTCACTTTGGCTGCTCTGTTAGCGCTGCAATGCTCGATCATAATAATCGATTCTCATACCAATGTCGCCTTTTCAAATTCCTACGTTATACAGCGTTCAATAACCGTGGAGGATGGCAAACTCAAAAAGTGAAAGGTGGTCGGTCATGATATAATTCAACGTACCATCACGGCATTCGTCTTAAAGAACTCCGGAAAACCACGAAGTACTTCCGTCAGGATTCGAACCGGAAACGTTCTGAATACAAGTCTACACCAATGTCGGTACACCAGTCTGTTTTGGTATCTAAATGTTTAACACGTCTATGTTTTAGCACGTTAAGTCCTGTGAATAACAAAATAAATAGACAAAATTAGCTGCGATGTGCTATGTGATCGTAATCCTGAAGATAACATACTTTTCAAAGCTACAGGCTACTACAGGCCACTTCTTCAGTATGTTACAGCAAAGTAACACACATTGCGTAAACTTTGTGCTCGTTATCTACAACGAACAGCCTCTCTCTGTCGATATCTCGATCACAGGAGAGCTCATATTTGTTTTTCTGAAATGCTGTGAGAGTATTTGCTTAGGGAAGCCGTGGAATCAAAAGGTATAGTCACTTTGTCAGTAATTTGTTCCCTGCAAGATCCACGGACTTGATGCCTCGATAGTAAGCATGGTCCCAAGATTAACTTCATTTATCACATACAGACTCTCGAATTCGAACCAGGAACTTGCTAGTGTCAAATCACTCGGCCTCAACTGATTCCGTGCCAATGGACAACCCTGCTCCAAATCAAGAGATACAGGACAAAAGATTACAACACGAACATGGATCTAAAACCGTTATTAGTACGAACTCGGCCTTGAAATTTTACTTTCGTTAATTACTCGTGTCCACGGCTAGTCAAGTATGCAAGACCTATCAGTAAACAAGGATAACTCACACAGCCTAATTGAATAATCTATACCAATCCAAAGGAGAAACTTACGAGTCTCGTAAATCTACTTCCACGCTGAAAGAGAACAGAACAACGAAGTGTCACACAGTTAACGTGTAATTAGCCCATCATTGTAATGTACGTTTACGCCAACAACAATGCCGGGAATTGTAAAACTGAAAACATTCCCGTCTCTTACCATCTTCCCACCCACGCTCAAAAGTTTCCGAGTTCCCCCCCCCCCTCAGGCTATGTAGTCAAAAATTTGTATGTGCGATCCCACACCGCCCCTGATATGATGATAATGATGAGTCTTGAGTTATTGAAAAAACGTCGTAAAATCAATAATAAATAAATAAGAATATCACGAATGAACTCCAGGATCTCTAGAATGAGCCGAATAATGGACTGTCCTTATATTAGCATTGTTTACACTCAAGCAGTAACAAATTAATTGCTTTCTGTTTTTAATTAGACACAATCCATATTTTAACTTACGCTCACGATCGCCTGCTCGAGGCTTCTTTCACAACAGAGCCATTTGAATTCGTAAGCAATTCGTCATCACTTATTACAAAAGTTGTACCATTCACCAACGGATGTTGCGGTCTCCCATGGCGCTGCAGGCGGATTACACTTCCGGTGTAACCAACCCCTTTCTTACGCTTCACACAACACATTCAGCGAGTGTGATCACTCGACATTTATAAACAATTCTTTCATTTTTTCTTTGTTACTTACAAGACAGTTAAGTAAAAATGTCTTGTGCTATTTACTCTATATAAAAATCGGTGATAAATAAACCTCAAATTAAGTGAGTGGTATCCACGATTACAGTATCCATAAACCTTTATACATTTTGAATAAAAAACTAAAGAACTTTTGCAACATAATCTGAAACGTCACATCACGTAACATTACGGCAACCATCGCACCAGACCTAGATCGACGCAAGTTCGGAACTTTTAAGGAAGTAGCAGCCAGAAGAAGAAATATTGCAGCGAAGTCAATTCCAGTTGGAAACAAGGCTGGCTTCGTCGGCTTTTCGTGTTGACAAGGGCAAAGCAAAACATCTGGAACGTATCTCAGGCTGTGAAATTCAACAGTACCGATCGATCGACGTGCATTCTACAAGCGACGTTTCTGCCGAGCTGAATTTTACATTACAGACCACGGAAACAAAAATAAAAAGTCGCGAGTGTATGTCTCTTGGTCGACTTTGAGAAATAAAGGAACACGGAATGAGGCAATGAGGGCTCAAACTGACAGGCCTCGAATTTTGATTTAATATACGAATAATAACGCATCGGTGGATTGCTTTTCGTATGACTCTTCCATTTCAACAGTTCTTAAAGAGAAGGCATTGACTCAGACAGAACTGTTTGAAACAAGTTACAAGGAATGAAATGTTTCACGGTGTAGTTCAGATCAGTTCGGCCTGACGAGCACACAAGCTTATTCAATCATCTACGTATCTTGTGCAGATCTTGGAAATTTCAAATAATTCCTTTCTGGAAAAAACACGATCGTGTACATTGTTTAACATTTCATTTAATAACTCAATCGTTTTGAGATTCTTCTCAGACACTCCATATATTATTAATTTACAGTGCAATGTGAGTTCCAAATGAATATATCACCAAAAAAAACTACAGCTGGAATTAACTAACAGTTAGAAATATAACAGCCAGCAAGAGGCGAAGAGTGGCTACTAACATCCGCCACTGCATTAATCTGTTGTGTTTACGTCAATAAATGGCACAACTAAGTTACTTTAAAATGCCTTCGTCAGTCGTCAACTAGTTGAGGCATGTGGCATTGAACAAGGTGTAAAGCTGGTTTTTCCTAGGCTGACTGTCCGTTCTAGAAAGCGCACGAAATTGATAAGAACTGGATCACGGGAGGAGGGAAAAATCACAATAAATAAAGACACTGAATTCAACGACTCACGCTCCTCTGCAGGTGGCCCTACGTAAAAGAGTGCGTTCAATCGCACACCTCTCTATAATAAGCTCCTTGGCCCCGGCAAATGTCATGTTACCACAGTTTAACTTCTCCGTGCACTTAAAATTCTGCTGGAAAGGAAAAATATATCCAAAGTCTGAAGTTACTACACTCATCGTCTTTCTATTATGAAAAAAAAAAACTTTTTATGCATCTTATGTTCACAATCTTGATCTAACTTCAACAGAAATGAAGTTTTATGTCACAAAGAGTGATGGAAAAATAAATTATCCCAGTGTCAAAATGTTCATGAAAGTTTTAATTCTTCTGAGCGTATTTCAGTGCAATACGAAAATGTTTTACGAAAGGTCATTTGCCTTCTCTTCTCGAAATAGTATTCAAAATTTTGTAGGCATTCATGGTGACGGATGTACGTAGTCCTATAAGCTTTCGACTCGATTCGATATGAGAAAAAGGTACGATCAGGGTCGTGTCCACTTTGTTTTTACACGCGCTCAACTCAGTGAGGTATTAGCTGACAGTTAACAGTCTAGTCGCTTGCTTACATAACAAGTGTTTACGTCTTCCATAATAATAATAATAATAACAACAACAAAAAACGTGATTCAGAAATTTCTGTAAAAAGGCGAATAGATGGAATAACAACAACAATAATAACACACATACCGTATTTATAACTGTATGCAACAGAAATGTTGGCTCGAGTGAGATCTGATCCTCTGATCATCTGCGCAGGAGACCATGGGCTTAGCACTTTATCGTTGGACCAAAGACTTACATTACCGAGATACAACACAAAACAACACAAGACTTGTAGTACAGAAACTGTGTCCGTAGCTTCTTTTCACCAGCATCACTGACTTTGATCTGACGAGGCGCACTCAAAGCCCACATGCAGTTCAGTGTTTCTACTTCAGACGAGAGAATACCCTCCTGAATCCGATTTTGCTCCCCGTGTTTGTGACGTCACACGGCCAACACATGACGTCAATTGAAGCAGCGATCCATAACACAGCAATAAAATTACTACAGGCCGGGTATTCGTCCGTGTTTATTAAAAAGGAAACTTCGTGTAAAGCTGAAACCAGGCGATGGCACACACGACTTCCACAATGCGAGGGTTCAAAAATTGTTTTTCAGGCTGAGTTTATGCTGGTAACTTTTCTAAATATTCACCTCTAAGCACTCTTTGGAATTACTTACATCTAACAAGCTGCTGTCACAGAACGACAGAGCACAACAAATACAAATGACCACAAAGACACAGAAGACCAAGACGCAAAGAACTAAATGGACCAGAACAGAATCTGAGAACCAGAAGAAATGTTTGCGAGCCTCAATAAATCGTAAAAAGTTTTTCTTATTTTGAATTTATTCACAGCTGCAGTATGCAAGGATTGTTACAGAAGTCTGGTGTAAAATATGGCAAGAACATCGTCATCTAATGGAAAATATACACACCAGCGATACTCGACGTTTCCAACACCGCCAACCACGAATAATTACGTCATGCATTTTAACTGAATAGAATAAAGCCTAACTAAACTACAGATCAGAACATATAACTGCTTCCGTCACTTTCACTCCAACGTATGAGTAAAAAAAAAAGTTACGTAGAATGCGTAGAACTTACGTTCTACCAAGTACAATGTACTCAAC